ACTCACCTCTCCCTCAGTAGTCCCGCGAATGCATCACTATGAGCACAAGCCGTCTCCTCGTGAGACTCCCTCGAGAGCTGAATGCGCTTGCTCTTCACCACACACACACAGCATGCGAGCCAGGTGAAACTGCAGGTATCAGAGCAAAGCCTCTGGCGAGAGAACATGCACATGCACTCCTAGTCATGCTTAGCTTAACGGTAACATAAACAAATGGTCAGTGAAGACGAAGAAGAGGATGATGTGTTATCCTGGCGCCCTTTTATACTGTGATCGCGCAGGGTAATGACGTCATAAGCTGTCGCCGGCCAATGTTATTGTCGTTTTTAGATGAATGCTTCAGATATGCTTCAGATTGTACGCTGAAGGCATTCCCCATAGCGACCCCAAGAGGACGCAGTTCGAAGTTCCCTCGAAAGGGAATGTTAGTTCTGTACAGCGTCAGCGTCGGTTAGAATAGCATTATAATCTCCTTTGTGGCAGAGACCTGCTCGGGATGGATTTTTCAGTCCCGCGCCCACCCGCTCTCGCAAGATTCTGTCCCGTGCCCGCAGAAAAATATCTTATCTGGTCCCGATCCCGCCCGCGACATTCATGTTTTGTCCCGCTCCCACCCGCATAAAAGTAATATATATAGATTTTTTTCAGCACATCAAAGAAATTTACATAAAATGGTTCTGTAACATCTCCTAAGATCCACAACATCCCAGTATAAATGCTCCCGAAAAAAATATTTGTTATTTAGGCTAAGCATCAACATTCACAAACCAGTGTTATTTTTAATAGAAAAGCAAGCATGGGCTGCTGCGTGCATGGTTTGATAAGATTCACTATTAGTAGGATTGGCTGCATTGCGCAACCCTTTAATCACGTGTTATAAATAAAAACTCTGCCTAGCTTGCGCGTGTTAATCATTTTAATGTTATTAGTTGTTCTTTTTGCTTTTGTGCAACACATAAATAACAATTTATATGTTTTAGACATTTTATGTTTAGATAATTTCTATTTTGCGGGAGTCTCACAAATCATTTTATTCTCCCGCATCCCACACACACACGAGTCTCTTCACACACGAGGATTGCAGGTCTCTACTTTGTGGTAGAGAAAGCTGCTTACATGCAGGCTAAACGAGTAACAGCGAAGATGTTGAATTAAACGTAAACACAATCTGCTTTTCCGCATATAGGCTACATACTGGCCCTGATTAATAATAATTAATAACTTCTACTCACTGCTTGCTCCATTCCTGCAAATCAGTTTTTATGAATGAATGAATGACTTGCGCTACCAGTTGTTTTGGTTTTCATCAACAGCCGCTTGCGCCACCTGCTGGTGAGCGACTGTCAGCAGATGGAGATCATGCATCGGTGCTCTACTGCTATTCCTGCAGTTCCCAGATGTGCAATGGTGAATTTTATGACGAATTTGAACCATTGAATTTGTGGAAGTGAATTTGTAAAGTAAAATAAAATGGACCGAAAAGTGCCTGTCGAATATTATACATCATATTTTTAAACAGATTGAATGTTTTGGAAGTGAACTCTAGAAGGTGAATATGAATTATTGAATTTTTAATTATGAAAATGTGTATGAAATGTTTTGAATTGAAATATTCACAGCTTAAATATACAACTATGTTGGATTTCAGCCCCTAAAAAAGCAAGCCCTGAAAATATAAGGCATTAAAATGCAAGCACTGTTAATGCAATGCATTATTTTTTCAGTTAGTGCAATTCAACGTGCGTTTTTGTTTCAAAGACATTTGTCATTATTTTTCTTCCATGTTGAACACTGCAATATTTCTAGAACATTAAATAAATAATAATAAAAAAATGCTGTATCCATATAACACTGTTTTTTTCCTAACAAAAGTGGAAAACCACAAAATGACTCAAAGTTCATCCAAATAAGTCTTTGCACCAAATTAGCACAATGTAAAGATTCAAAGCACAGTATTACCGACACAAACGACACACCATCAAGGTAACACACTAAAGTAATGCGGTAAACTATATAGTTGTTAACTATATTACAAAATTTAACAAGCAATTTAACAATGTACATAATATAAAAAAAATAAACAGTAAATTTTAAATAAAAATATGGAATCATGGGAAAGACCTTTTCTCCTTAAACATTAAAATAAAATGCCAATTATGTATATATGTTAAATATTACTTTGTTAAATACTGTATGTTGTGATTTCTGTTGTAAATTACAGGTAATTAAGTAAAGGTAATTAATTAACCATTATTTCACAGTATTTTACAATATAGTTACATAAATTATCTACAAGATAATTTACATTTAAGCATGATTTTAATGTAGCCTATCAATTTTATATTATTTTTCTGGTAAAAATTACGAATTTTTGGTAGCAATTTATTTTTTAGTCTGATCTGTTTATATGTACACTGTACTCACTAAAATAGTTAGGTATGAACTCTGAATCTAACCCTCAATCTAACCTTAAACCATATTAAGTTCAAGTAGTTACCTAATATGACTCATTACCTTCTTTGTACTGTATATACAGTGTAATGTGAAGTGCAATTGAGCATTCACTAGTATAATTAATTACTATAGTAATGTGCACTTACATTTACAACACAAAATATTTACAAATTGAATTGATGTTCATTAGTATTACTCTACTGTACTTACATAAATATGACCCATTTTACTTTCTCGTTCTGACAAAAGGAAGAACTAAGGGCTTTCATCTCTTTAAATGTATCCTTACCCACCCACACACTGGACTGCTGAGAATTTTGTGCATGACTACCCAACACCCAATTAATACATTATGAGGATATAGAGAACCATACAACCATTTTACATTATCCAGTGAAATACAAATTAAATTGCCATATTGCTTCCAGTAATACATTATCTTATCAATGACTTAATCTTTATGAATTTGTGATCTAGGATTAGGTCTCACATGTTCCACTTAAACTGTCTAATCTATTTTCTGATATATCATAGATGCAAATTAAACTCATGCACGGCTCTTTGTTAAGGTCATTTGACTTCTCAGTGGTAAATATCAGTGAAACCGGAAGCAATGACAGCCATAACATGCTATGTACCATGTCAGAATGAAGGGAAAAAATTCTAACTTTCATTAATTGTCTTATTATTAATTGACTGTTTAAAATAATTTCTTACAAAGAAAGGAACAGAAGTTAACAGTTAACCTAAAATCAGTACAATGTTGCACAAGAAGGTAGAAGCTTGTTATGTAGTTGTTTTTAGGCAAAAAGGGAGGAATGACAAAGTGAAATGGAAATACAAGAATTAAGAATTGATATTGACAAGCTTTCACAAGCTGGGATGTTAAGTACATCTTGACAAATGTAGGTTTCAAAGTCAGGAGGCAGGATCTAAAAGGAGGGAAATGTTCAAACTTTGGTATTTTCATGGGAATTAATTGTGATGTTAATACCATTTGTAAATATCTGACATGAAAATGTTTTCATTCATAAATCACCAGTCATCTAAAATAAGAACTCCTGGACTCGCCCCACCTATGGGTAATATATGAGTTTTGGAGGGCTTTTATTTTGTAATGCAACATCAGATCGTCCTGAAACTGGCTGAATGAGACCCTGGGGTAGGGAACTGTCTAGCTGATTTGAAACTGGTCTGGGAGTTTCCTTTTTAGAGCTATTCAAAATTACAGGCAAAACAGGAAGAATATGAAATTTTGCAGGGCATTTATTATGTAATGCAACATCAGATCGTCCTGAACTGGCTGAGGGACAATCTGAATTGAAAGTGTTCTGTGGAAACAGGGAGTTTCCTTTTTAAGACCTATCCAAATCAAAGACAAAACTGGTCATATATGAGTTTTAGGAGGGCTTTTATTTTGTAATGCAACATCAGATCGTCCTGAAACTGGCTGAATGAGACCCTGGGGTAGGGAACTGTCTAGCTGATTTGAAACTGGTCTGGGAGTTTCCTTTTTAGAGCTATTCAAAATTACAGGCAAAACAGGAAGAATATGAAATTTTGCAGGGCATTTATTATGTAATGCAACATCAGATCGTCCTGAACTGGCTGAGGGACACCCTGGGGTACTGGATTATTAATCTGAATTGAAATTGTTCTGTGGAAACAGGGAGTTTCCTTTTTAAGACCTATCCAAATCAAAGACAAAACTGGTCATATATGAGTTTTAGGAGGGCTTTTATTTTGTAATGCAACATCAGATCGTCCTGAAACTGGCTGAGTGACCCCGTGGGGGTAGTGGACTGTCAATCTGAATTGAAATTGTTCTGTGGAACCAGGGAGTTTCCTTTTTAGAGCTATCCAAATCAAAGACAAAACTGCTCATATATGAGTTTTAGGAGGGCTTTTATTTTGTAATGCAACATCAGATCGTCCTGAAACTGGCTGAGTGACACCCTGGGGTAGAGGACTGTCAATGTGAATTGAAATTATTTTGTGGAAACAGGGAGTTTCATTTAAGAGCTATCCAAAATCATAGGCGGAACAGGTAGAATATGAAATTTTGGAGGGCTTTTATCATGTAATGCAATATCAGATCGTCCTGAAACTGGCTGAGGGACACCCTGGGGTAGTGGACTGTCAATCTGAATTGAAACTGGTATGTGGAAACAGGGAGTTTCATTTTTAGAGCAATTCAACATCACAGGCAGAACAGGTAGAATATGAGATTTTGGAGGGTTTTATCATGTAATGCAACATCAGATCGTCCTGAAACTGGCCGAGGGACACCCTGGGATACTGGACTATTAAGCTGAATTGAAATTATTTTGTGGAAACAGGGAGTTTCCTTTTTAGAGCTATCCAAAATCAAAGACAAAATTGGTCATATATGAGTTTTTGGAGAGATTTTATTATGTAATGCAACATCAGATCGACTGTCAATGTGAATTGAAATTATTTTGTGGAAACAGGGAGTTTCCTTTTTAGAGCTTTTCAAAATCACAGGCCGAACAGGTAGACTATGAAATTGTGGAGGGCTTTTATCATGTAATGCAACATCAGATCGTCCTGAAACTGGCTGAGGGACAACCTGGGGTACTGGACTGTTAATCTGAACTGAAATTGTTCTGTGGAACCAGGGAGTTTCCTTTTTAGAGCTATTCAAGATCACAGGCAGAACAGGTAGAATATGAGATTTTGGAGGGCCTTTATTATGTAGTGCAACATCAGGTCGTCCTGAAACTGGCCGAGGGACACCCTGGGGTAGAGGACTGTTTATGTGAATTGAAATTATTTTGTGGAAATAGGGAGTTTCCTTTTTAGAGCTATCCAAAATCATGGGCAGAACAGGTAGAATATGAAATTTTGGAGGGCTTTTATCATGTAATGCAACATCAGATCGTCCTGAAACTGACTGAGGGACACCTTGGGGTACTGGACCATTAATCTGAATTGAAAATTTTCTGTGGAACCAGGGAGTTTCCCTTTTAGAGCTATTCAAAATCAAAGACAAAACTGGTCAAATATGAGTTTTTGAAGGGCTTTTATTTTGTAATGCAAAATCAGAT